GCAGGTGATGTGGTGGTTAAGGATGCTGGACTTCGACATGGCTGATTATGGTTTGAGTCCCAGAGCTGGCGGCTTGCTTTCTCACTTTTCTCTCTCTCTTTCTGTGTCTTTCTCTGATTAAATTAAAATAATAATGATTGGGACCAGCAGTTAGCATAATGGCTATGTCACTGAACACCCATGTAGTCGACCGCAGTTGAGTTCCAGTGGCTTAAACTCAAGCCAGGCACATGTGCATGTGTGCCCAAAGTCCTCAGAGGAGAATGGAGGAGAAGGGATTGCGGCGTGACCATCTACCCTGAGGGATGATTTCTCACTTTCTGTGTCTCTGTCTCTGTCTTTCTGGCGAGAGTGCACACACCCTATAGAAAAAACCTCTCCAAAAAAATAAAGAAAATAATGATAATAGAGTTAAAATAATTCTTCAAAGAAACTATTTATTGTAAGAATGAGAATAAAGTAAAAAGATGAAAACAAGATGTCCTTTTTGTCAAGCTCTCATGTACTTCAAGTTTTTCTATAAAACATTTCCATTTATTGAAACGACCTTGTTGGCATTCCCATTTTACAGAAGAGGGAACAAGCTCAGGTTGACTAACCTGCCTGAGATTACATATCTGGTAAATTATAAAAGATTAAAACCTAAATCTCTAACTTCAAACCCATATTTTTACAAACAGGCAATTCTGCCTCCAGATTCCTGGAGAAGAAGGGATTGTAGTGTGGCCATCCCTCCCAGGGGGTGATTTCTCCCCTTCCCTAAAGCACACATATCCTATGGCAAAAACCTATTTAAAAAAAAAAAAGATAATAAGGGGCCGGAAGGTGGATGGTGGATAAAGGCGCTGGACTCCCACATGGCTGACCATGGTTCGAGTCCCAAACCTAGCAGCTTGCTTTCTCACTTTCCCTCTCTGTCTCTCTCTGGTCAAATTAGAATAAATCTTTTTTTTTTTTTTTTGAGAGGTTTTCACTATCAGGCGCGTGTGCTCGCCAGACAGAGAGAGACATAGAGACAGAAAGCGAGAAATCACCCCCCAGGGGGGATGGTCACGCCGCAATCCCTTCTCCTCCATTCTCCTCTCGGGATCTTGGGCACGCATGCACACGCGCCTGGTGTGAGTTTTAAGCCACCGGGTCTGGGACGCAAACTGCTACGTGGGAGTCCAGAGACATAGCCATTAGGCTAACTGCTGGTTCCCAATAATAATTCTTAAAACAAACAAACAAACAAAAAAAAAACAGTATAGGCCCAGCCTAGGTGACACAGTCCATAGCATACCGAACTGCAATTCTGGAAGCCACATGGCTGACCACAGGTTTAGATCCCTAGGTCAACAGAAAATGCTGTGAGCTCACAAGAGCCTCATGAATTAGAGTGTCAAAAGGGGGGATCTTGGCATGATGAGACCATCAAGGATGCATCTTTCTCTTTTGTGCACATGCTATCATTCAAAAAAAAATTATGGCTCAGCTGCAAGTGGGAAAATGCCAATGCACCGTGACTGAGGCTGCATGGTACACCTGGGTTGGTTTTCCAGCCCAACCTGAAACAGGCCCAGCCAGTAGGCACACATCAGTAGTCCTAGCTAAATGGAAAACTGAGGAAGAAAGGTCACAACACAGTGAGACTCTGTCAAAAATACTCCTCTCTCTGGATTGTGATATGGCCGGGGGGGGGAAGGGGGAGAGTAGGTGTGATTTCTTACTTTGTGTCTGTCTCTCCAGCAGGTGTACATGCCCTGTAGCAAAAAATATCTCTAAACCCCACCCTTTTGAGTGAAAAATAAAAAGGCCTGATAGTTAAAAGAGCCAGATCTCATATGGCGGATTACGTGGTTTGAACCCAGACTCATCTTGGAAAACCACCAGGGGCACGTGCACATGTACCCAAAATCCCAACAGGATTGAGAAATGGAGAAGGGAATGCAAGTTTGACTCCTTTAACCATTAGGCTACTGGTCTGACCCTTTTCTATTATTATTTTAATATCAATCTCTTAGAAAAAAGAAATAAGTGTTTAGAAATGCTTCATTAATAGTTCTGCTCAGATTATACTCCTAGTGCATGGAGCTAAGCCATGCATTGAAAAATAGTGATTTTTCTTTGGAGAGGTTTTTCCAATAGGGCACATACACTCCCCAAAAGGACAGAGACAGAAAGTGAGAAATCACCCCCTGGGGGAATGGCCCCACCACAATCCCTTCTCCTCCATTCTCCTCTTGGGATCTTGGGCACGCATGCACACCCTCCTGGCATGAGTTTAAGCCACTGGGTCCAGGACTCGAACTGTCGTCTAGCCAACTGCTAGTCTCCAAAAACACTGATTTTACACATAGCATGTGTAAATCACTGTGAAAGGTGCTTTGGAGACGGAAAAGATTAATGAGACCAAGACATGGTCTTTATTACTTTTTTTTGTTTTTCTTAGTTTTTGTTTTAGGGTGTGTGTGCACACTTTGGGAGGAATCATTCCCTAGGGGTGATGGTCCTGCCACAATCCATCCTCTAAGCTGCTGGTTCCAGGACTGAAACCACACATTCAATCATGTGGGATCCAATGCCCTAACCTCCACACCACCCCCAGCCTGACATGGACTTTACTCTGAAATTTATAGTTGGGGCCAGCAAGTGGCTTGGCAGTTGAAGCACTGGACTCTCGCTTGGCTGACCATGGTTTGAGTCCTGGACCTGGCAACTTGCTTTCTCACTTTCCCTCTCTGGTGAGTGCATGTGCCCTATAGCAAATTTCAAAATAATAATAAAATAAGTAATTATTTTTAAAAATTTTAAAAGCTTATAGTCAAGAAAAAAAGAAGTTATAGTACTGAATAGCCAGGTGGTGCAGGGTGGTTAAGTCAGCTGGATTCCATATGGTTAACTATGTGGTTTAAGTCCTACATCCAGTGCTCTGAAGGACACTATGGGTGTTTTTGTGTGTGCATGCCCAAAATCGGGAGAGGAGAGTGGAAGATTATAGAATGGCCATCCCTCCTGGGCGTGCTTTCTCACTTTCCTCCTTTGTCTCTCTCTGGAAAATGCACATGCCCTATACCAAAGTATAAAAAAAAAAAAAATTCTTTTAAGATACAATCTTGCTTTTTTTTGAGAGAGATTTTTGCTATAGGGCACATGCCCTCGCTGGAGAGATAGAAAGCAAAATATCACCCCCCCCCTGGGTGGAGGATGGCCGTGCCACAATCCCTTCTTTTCTCCTCTCAAGATTTTAGGCACACATCCACACACACCCCACATGAGTCTTAAGCTGCCGGGTCCAGGACTCAAACTATAGTTAACCATGTGGGAGTCCAGCGATGTAACCATTACACCATCTGCTTGTCCCTAAGGAAAAAAAAATGTAAGAGGTTATAGTGCATGTGTACCAGAAAAAAACTGACATATGCCACAAAGGTGGCAAAGGTAAGTGTTGGCAAGGGGCTAGCAGGCATGCGCACATGCCCAGCCTGAGTCTGAAGCTGCTGGGTCCCAGACTGAACTGTAGTCAGCCTTGTGGGAGTCCAGCCCCTTAACCACCATGCTGGCCCCCAGAAAGATCATTTTTATTTGAGGAATTAAGGACATCAAAAGCAAGGGACCGTTTAGAAGAATACTATATAGTTCAGCCAAAAAATGATCAGTGCTTGACCTAGGACAGAGACAGTGGAGACAGAGAGGAGCAGGCTGTTAGAATTACTGCAGAAGGGACCAGCAGATGGAGTAATGGTTATGTCGCTGGACTCCCACATAGAGTTCAGGTCCAAGGGCTTAAAGCTTAAAACTCATGCTGGGAGCATGTGCCTGGTCATCCCCCCCGGGGGGTGATTTCTCACTTTCTGTCTGCTTCTGTCTCTCTGGCAAGCATATGTGCCATATAGAAGAAATCTCTCTCTCAAAAAATTGGATATATACCTTCAATTCTCTTCAGGAGCCCTATTTGAGTGTGCCAGAACTCTAACACATCATATTTGTATATTTAAATAAGGTATATTATGTATAATTGTACCTTATGTACATGTATATTTATAACCATATTATTATGTATAATTGTTTATAGATGCATAGGAAGTACCTGGAAAGGTCCTCATCAAACTGTTCCTGAAAATAGGGATGGGAAAGGGAAAGGACAGGGAGAAGAGTCCTTTTATTTTATTCATACCCTTTGATTCCTTAAAACAACAGTTTTTTTGTTTTAAATTTTGTCAGAGGACATGTGCACTTACAGGAGGTAGAAAGCAAGAAACACTTCCTATGAAGTATGGTCACACCATAATCCCTTCTACATTTCTCCCTTCTTTCAGGATTTTAGGCATACATGCCTGGTATGTTTTTTTTTTTTTTAAACCCACCAGGTCCAGGACTTGAACCATACAGTTAGCCATATGGGATCTAGCTGCCTTAACCACCAAGTCACTGGCTGGCCCTGTATTACTTTAAAAACAAACAAACAAAAATAAGCAAAACAAAAAAAACTAGTAGTTTTAAAAGTAGATAAAGGGGGCCAGCAGGTGGCGTGGTGGTTAAGGACACCGGACCCCCACGTGGGTGACTGTGGTTCAAGTCTTGGACCTGGCAGCTTACTTTTGTACTTTCTTTCCCTCTGTCTCTCTCTCTGTCTCTCTGGTCAAACTGAAACAAATAAAGTTAAAATCATTAAAAAAAAAAAAGTAGATGAAGAATATCATCTCCTCTTGCCTAGTGCATGAGTAGCTGTGCAGTAGTAGTGCAGCTGTTGGCATGGTGGTCAAGACTGTTGGATCCCACATGACCAACTGCATGATTCAAGTCCTAGATCTGGCAGCTTGAGAAACACACTAGTTGGAGGAGCATACATACACAAAATCCCAGGAGGAGGAAGAAATAGAGAAGGGATTGTAGTGTGACCATATCTCATGGGGAGTGCTTTCTCACAACCACCCCTCTCCCCCCACCCCCCTGCCGGTAACCTCATGCACCCTCTGGCAAATTTTTTAAAATAAAAAGTTCAGTAAATTCACTGAGAGTAAAGATGAAACCTCCAGTTTATTCCTCTAAGAACCTCTCATTCAATAAAAATTTTACAGAGAAAAATCCTAAACTTTAAAATAAATTTTTTTAATGATAAATACATATTGATAGAAATAATTAAATCCTCATATGAAGGCAGCATCCAAGAATCTCTCCATGTTCATGGCTCCCAGCCCTTCCCTCCAGGCTGACGGGGCAACTTGAGACCCACCAAGCCAGCAGACTCTTCCACTGAGCGCTCACCCTTGCCATGAAATTCCTGATGCAGGGCCACGTGTTCCCGGATGCTGCGCAAGAGGCAGAGATAGGTGGCAGCTTGGAAATGTAGCTCATGTTGGGCTCTGCACAGCTTCTCACTGGTGACCTAGAGAAAGCAAGGTCAGATACACTATTTAACACCCCAGCTGCAGGTACAGGCCCACACAGAAAGATTCGATGAGCACGCATTCTCTGGAGTGAAAATAAACTGCACAGAAGAAATATATAAACATGTGTACATGTATACTTCAACATTTATAGAAGCCTTTAATTATTTATCAGGAAAGTTAATCAAAGAGGACTTCAAGAAAATTTTCATTAAATGTCCTAAGATTCAATACTGGAAGAAGTCATCCTGTTTCAGCGCTTTCATTTTACAAATGAGGATATTAAATTCCAGAGATGCTCAGTGGTTGGTTAATGGCAGAAAGGAACTATAATCAGGTCACTGTTCACTGATATCACAGAACTTTCTCCCTTCAAATAAATGAAGAGCTGCTTTATTTTATGCTTCTGTGACTTTGACTAATGTGGCATAGACCTTTCATTTCAATGCACAAATATACTGTTTTTGGTTAGAGTGTGTGCTTGCCAGAAAGATGGGGAGAGGAGAAAGCATCCCCCCAGGGGAATGATCACACTGCAATCCCTTCTCCTCCATCTTTCCCACCTTTTGGAATTTTGGAGCATGCATGTGCCCATGCCTGACGCGTTTTCTCAAGCTACCAGGTCTGAGATGAACTGTGTGCGTGTCCTTGACTGAGTAAAGAAGCTGTGTCCACATGTGGATTAGTCTGTGGGCAGCACTTAGTTTCTCTATTTGAATATATATGGCTATAATCTGTGTGGCTTGATCTGCAGATCAATGTGTGAAAGCAGCATCACTCACAATGGAATACATCCACTTTAATCAAATTTAACTTAAAATTTTTAAGTAATTAGAATTTATGAGATCAACATGTCAAGCATTAACAGAAAGTGACGTGCATTCCTATTATATAAGCCCAAATTTGCAGGATTTGAAACAGGACTTGTGTGTAAATGCAGGCTAGAATACTGATTCAGCTCAGCCTGAACCACGAGGAGCCAGGAGAAAAGGGTCAGCATTATACAGTGAACAAGGCACAAGAGACCAAAAGAGCAAATGAAAACTGCATTTTCCCAAAGAACAGGAAGGCTCCTCCCTAAACAAATCCCTTCCCTCTAGGAAAAAGGATAGAGAAAATGGGCACAGATGGTTATTGAGTTACCTCTGAGCCAGAAGGAAATAAACCATTCTCCATACTGTCATATGCATCCCACAGAAGTGTTTCTGTAACTTTTACCACAAATTTCTAATGTATTGCAAGGGATTTCAGAGCCATTACCACGCTTTCAAGAGTGATAAATGTCACCTCCTTTAAAAGTCCTAGAATGGCATCCCATTACACTTAAAACAGTTCAGATTTCTGCCACCTAACTCACCTTCCTCCACATCACCAGCCACACCAAAGCTGCAACCTCAATGGTCAGTTCCCACCCCTGGGCTTTCGCTTAGGCAGCTTCTTTGAAAGCTCTGGGTCCTCACCTTTCCTAAACCCCATTTACTTGCTAACTCAGACTTATCTTTCAGGTCCCTGCTTAATTTCTCTCTCCAACCCGTCCCTAACAGACCCTTCTTTACACCACAGCTCTCTTGTCCACACACTTAGCACTTACTCTGTGTGCTGCACTATACGGCTCCTTACATGGGCTCTAAGTTTTCAAAAAGACAAGACACCCCCTACCTCTTAATCTCTGTATTTAGTCCAAGTCCTAGCACTGTCCTTACCACAGTGACCTTTTAAAAACTAAGAGTTTAAAGATTTTTGCATTCCAACTTCTGAGTCAGAAATTCAACAGTTAGGATGATGGTTCTGGGACCAGCAGATGGGGTAATGGTTAAGTCACTGGACTCCCACATGGGAGACCACAGTTTGAGTCCCAGATTGGTGCCCAAAATCCAGAGATGAAAATGGAGGGGGAGGGGTTCTGGCAACAGTCATATCCCCACACTTTTGATTTCTCACTTTTTGTCTCTCTGGTGAGCACACTGTTCTATAGCAAAAATCTCTCTTAAAAAGGAAAAAAAAAAAAAGATATTTCCTGCACTGCCCAAGGTGGCATGGTGATTAAGGCAGCTGGATTCCCAAATAGCCAACTGCCCCTTTCCAGTCCAGGAAATGGTGACTTGAAAAACATGTTGGGTGCTTGTGCCTGTGTGCCCAAAATCTTGAGAGAAGGGGTTTTGCCATGGCCATGGGAGAGGTAGATTTCTCACTTTCTCTTTCTCCCGTCTCAGCGAAGACACACGTCCCATAGCAAATTAAAAACAAAACAAAAACACTTAAAAATGAAACTATCTTCCACTTGGTCTTGCCTAAGGAGGATGTGGAGCGCGTTTTTCACGATCGTATTTCCTAAAAATGGCCCTTTATATGTTTATATTGAAAATGTATGTGGTCATTGAGCTAGTGCCAGAACGGATACCACCTCATCAGAGGCGTCTAGGCACCACTTTCTGAAGTGGTTCTAAGGAGATGAGTTCAGTAAAACGCAGTTCCTGCTAGCCTCGCTTCGCGACAGCCTTTCTGCTCGAACCTTGCTCAGAGTAACTTCTACGCAAAGGGTGGGAGTGGCCCACAAACGCTGTCCACCTTTGTGCCTTTGTCCCCTCCATTTCCTCCACTTCCCTTTCCCGCCGAACCAGCAACAGACAAGCCAATGAAATCCTGCTGGCCGACTCCACGCCCTCTGGAGGACACGGCCGTCCTCCCCGGGGCGCCTCTGCTCCCCGGCCGGTCCTTGGTTAGGGCACAGCTTAGGGCTGGGTGAACCGCAGGGCGGCCTTACGAAACGCAGTGCGAAGACCTGTCCTCCCTTCCCCGGGCGGGGGCACCCGGGACCTGGTTTCCGTACCCGGTGTGCACGGAAAGCCTTCACAAGGTATCGATAGGCCGCGGTGTCGCGATAAGGTCGGCCGGTGGCCGCGTTCAGGTAGCGCAGCTCCCGCAAGAGGCCTCGCAAAGTGCGCGCCGGGGACCCTAAGGCCGCCATCTTCCCGCCGACACGGGACGCCGCGGCTGCCCGGTCCCCTCGACCCCAGGCACTTAACCCGGTGGGCGGACCCGGCCGCGGGCTCCCGGTCCACCTCGCGCGGCGGAACGCCTTACTTCCCCTTCTGCGGAGCCACACCAATCAAACGCCGAGCCGCGCACTAACGAGTTAAGGGGAAAGCAAACGAAAGCCGAGCCTAACTGCCTGTTTTTCAAGAAACCCCGAGGCAGGCCCGGCGAGAGGGGAAAAGGCGTTCTTTCTTGACAGCGTCGTTTCAGAGGCCGTTATCTGACCGGCCGCTAGGTCTCAGAAGACGCGGACCTGACGATTGTGCGTGCGGACTTGATATGCGAACACTCTGAGAAGGCACTTTTTAACGGTATCTGGAGGGGATGTCAAAATTCTGTGTTTTGACAGACATCCCGGAAGAGGTTATGGGACTACGACATAAGAGGACCGAAATGGGAGTATGTCGATTCTCGCGAATTACACTCCAACAGTAAATAAAATCATACATGCACTTTTCCCATTGGGAAAAAAAAAAAATGTAAGTAAAGTTAATAAGTCCAGTCATAGTTGTTTATGAAAGGAAGAATGAGTCTCAGAAGAAAAGAGATCACCCCAGATGGGACTCGAACCCACAATCCCTGGCTTAGGAGGCCAATGCCTTATCCATTAGGCCACTGGGGCTTCTGTGAGCGGCGCTCTTAAACGACGTGTTCAATTTTCTCCGCTTTCGTACGTCATTATCATTCAGATTCGTTTTTGCCTTATCCAGGGAAACCACACCTACTACCGACGCCAGGGGGCGCAGCATGCTGGGAGTTGTAGTGCAGAGAACAAAGGCCCGCGTTACAACGCCGGAGCCTTTACCCTCGAAGCAGCCCCGACGCGCCGAATGCACAGCGGGCGCGCGCACGCTCTTGCGTACGTGTTTGCGAGATAACTCCGGCGCCTGCGCAAGGCAGCCACGCGATGTCGCGAAGCCGGACGTGCTGGGCAAACTGGCTGGGTCTTCGCGCTTCGACCTCAGAGCGTCTGCACTGTCGGGTTTTTACCGGAAACAGTCGGACCCCTTCCGGCGATTCGGCTCTCGCGACCTAGTTTGGCGCAGCCGGCCGTTAGGTGGCGTTAACAGCGGTCACTTCCTGTTTCCGGTTGAAACTGCGGTTATTCCCGCGGAGCCAGTACCTTAATGGGGCTTTTTGCCCTGTCTCATTTGGAGTGTCAGCAATAAACGCAGGCCAGTGGGGAATTAGTAGTTAAGTCATTAGGAGTTAATTCGAAAGTTCATTTCCTGCCTTGTTCCTCATTGTATAACACACAGCTGACTTGTGTCTCAGCGTTACTCTTTGCTTAAAATCTGGCAGTGGCTCTTCATTGCCCCTAAGTTGAAGTTCAGACCAATTAAACTCATTCTTGTTTATATCTTCACAACTTCATCTCTCACTATTCGTTTCCTGTCACCTTCCCCTCCACATATCTGAGCTCTCATTATCTTCTCTGCCACACCTTACATGTTTGCCCCTCTGCCTTAAACTTAGCCATCTGTGGTAATATTCCTATTTACACTGTGGACTTAGCTTCCTCCAAAAGTCTAGAGAAGACCCTCTCTAGGCCCTGGTGGGCGATAGATATGATGAGATTAAAATTATGCACCTCGCTTTTCCAGCTTAGGCCGGGCAGAAAGGCTCCCGCAAAGAAGGGTGGCGAGAAGAAAGGCCGTTCTGACATCAAGGAGGTGGTGACCCAGGAATGCACCATCGACATTCACAAGCGCATCCATGGCGTGGGCTTCAAGAAACATGCCCCTTGGGTACTCAAAGAAATCTGGAAATTTGCCATGAAAGACATGGGGACTCCAGATGTGGGCATTGATACCAGGCTAAACGAAGCTGCCTGGGCCAAAGGAATAAGGAATGTCATATCAAATCCATGTGCAGTTGTCCAGAAAACAAAAAGAAAATGAAGATTCACCCAACAAGCTCTACACTCTGGCGACCTATGTACCTGTTACCACTTTCAAAAACCTACAGTTGATGTGGATGAGAACTGCTGATTTTCAAATAGTTATAAAACCAACCAAAAAAAATGATGCACTTCATCTCTGTTCCCTGTTGCTCCATTCATTTACTCTGTCATGTGATGCATAACTCATCATGCCATAGCGTACTACTTGTCTCCATCAGACTGGGAGATTGTTCAGCTCCTAAATTCTTGTGCCTAAGGGAAAAGTCTGTCCCTTCACATCAAGCTGACTCTGGAAAGACAGGCATGATAGCTTAGGCTCCTAAAGAGCTCTTGGCCCCAATGGCTAGGAGACTAAACTGTTGACTAGGAATGACAAACCCAATAGGAGCATTAATGGTACATCAGTGAGTAAAGCAAGTTTTGTTTTTTTTTAAGAGGTTTTTGCTACAGAGCGCATGTGCTCGCCAGACAGACAGAGACAGAAAGTGAGAAATCACCCCCCAGAGAGGATGGCCACACTGCAATCCCTTCTCCTCCATTCTCCTCTCGGGATCTTGGGCATGCACGCACACGCGCCCGACGTGAGTTTAAGCCACGGGGTCTGGGACTCGAACCGTGATTGACTACATGGGAGTCCAGTGACATAGCCATTATGCTAACTGCTGGTCCCCTGAGTAAAGCAAGTTTGATGAGATCCTGGTAAACTGGAGAACACCTAGCCCACCCCAGGGCGGCCCAGCTGCTACTTACCTCCATTGATTGCTGTCATTTAGGCAAGCAGATCTTTTTTCCCCCCAAGAAAAGCTGAAAATCCATTTTTTTTTTTTGAGAGGTTTTTGCTATAGGACGCGTGCGCTTGCCAGATAAACAGAGAGAGAAAGAGAGACAGCGAGAAATCACCCTCACCAGGGGGGATGGCCACGCCGCAATCCCTTCTCCTCCATTCTCTCGGGATCTTGGGCACACACGCATGCGCGCCCGGTGTGAGTTTTAAGCCACCAGGTCCGGGACGCAAACCGTGGTCGACTACATGGGAGTCCAGCAACATAGCCATTATGCTAACTGCTGGTCCCTGAAATTCCAGTTTTTAAAAATGCTATAGCTTTCTAAATATTGGCCACTACGTAATACTTTCAAAGTACTGCATGCCAAACAACAGCTACAGACTTCTAGGTAAGAAAGAAGAAGAAAGAGTTTAAAATAAGAACATCATTTTTAAAAATGCACTGTGTACCTACTTTTGGGGGAAAGAAGTTACTTGATCGCTCTGTCTTACCTTCAGGAAAAGAAGCTCCTGAGAATAAATACAGAGTAAACTTGTTTGATCTAACATGTGAGATTCTTTCTAAAACCTAACCGTATTAATATAACTCTTCTCCTTAGCACCATCAGGCAATTACCACACTGGCTAGATAAAGGAACTTTAAAGCACACCATTTTAAACAGCTTTTTGAACTTTTTACCTTTTGGGTGTTTCCTGGTCTTTATGCATTTTTAAGCATTGAGGGTTTTTAGGTAGTACTTGGCCAAGCATACCAACTAACTTCTTCCAGGTGAGCCTGGAGTGATAGAATTAAAGCACCCAGGGAGTTTGGTGCCTAGCCAGATGATATAAATAGCTCACTGGGACCTTAGAACCTGTGTGGATCTGTTTTGGTCTTTGGGGCTGGCCTTGAAACAGTAGATCTCTAGAACAGAGATCAGCAGGGGCTATCAGTCTTGTTCAGAGACAGGACAGGGCATTGCTGAGTCAGATACCCTGGTAACTCTCAGTTACCACTGTATTTTTAGAGATGCCCTAGAGCCTCCAAGGAGGACAGTGTTGTGCTGAGACACTTGGGAGCCTGCTCAGTTTACTGTTAGTTCCTATTTCCTATGCTCTGTTTGTAATGGGAAGACTCCATGTCAATATTGATATGATCTCAAGAGTATATGATTTAGCTAGGTAAAAGTTGACTATCAGATTGCATCTACTTAGTATTATGAATTTAATGAAAATCATTTGGTAAAGTCACAATTCTGGATTGAATCAGATTAAATAGATGTGACTTTGGGATTCATTTAAGTTCTTTTATGTGTGAGGAACGCTATACTCAATGAATTAAACTCATTCTTCCAGGCATGTAACTGCCATGTCAACACCTTTCTTCTTGTCTTTGTTTTTTTTTTTTTTTTTTTTTTTTTTTTTTTTTTTTTTTTTTTTTTTTTTTTTTTTGCCATGGCATCCTGGCAACCTTGGCGTCTCCATGTAGATCGTGTCTCCACATGGGTCAAGCACTCCCAGTATCTACTTCCCCAGATTCCAGGAGAATAGCCTGTGGTGTTGCTCCTAATGCAAAAAGAGACAATCCAGGTAGGAGCTACCACTAGGTAGTTTCTCATTTCTGTTTTTGGGGAGACTGCCAAAACAGTCTCATTGATTGCCCTGGTTTCAGTTGCGTACGGAGCTTTCCACCTCACCCTGACTACACAACTACAGGCTTCTGTGTAAGTCCGTAAGACTGCCTTACTCTAGTTTAGATTGGACTCCTTCATGGCAGAATATCCACCACTTGAGCTCTCTAGCGCTTGACCTCTCCAATTCAGCGTCATCTTCTTGGTCATGGGACATGGACACCATGTTGATCTTCCTTTTGGTGTTGGTGTAAAAAACTTTCTGAATCCACTGGACTCACCTTCTTATTGACTGAATCTATGGGAGCTGGCAAGCCAACCAAACAATGGCAGCAATGTTGGGCACTGAGCTGTCACTTAGATACATCCAGACCACTTGAAAATGAGCTTGAGTAACATTGCATTAATAGTCATCACTCATGTGTAGATAATAGTTAGACATAGGGGCCAGCAGGTGGTGTGGTCGTTGAGGCACTGGCCTTCCACATGGTCAACAGCAGTTCCAGTCCCAGCCCTCATGGGTTGTTTTTTCACTCCCCACGTCCCCGTCTCTGATGAGTCCATGTGCCCTATAGCAATTTTTTTTAATTTTTAATTTTATTTATTCATTCACTTATTTTAATTTGACCAGAGAAAGAGACACACAGTGAGAGAGAGAGAGAGAGAAAG